GGCGAACGTAAAGAAGGGAAACATGACATAGAAGCCGAACGGAAGGATGTTGTATAACCGAATGGTTGCAAAGATTGATGCCGCACAGAGCCAGACCCCACATTCGATGAGCTCAAAGGCGAGGGTCGCCTCATACCCGTGAAACGTGAATTCGATGATCTTCATTTCGACGTAGTCCAGGTAAGTGCGATGGAGTCGGAGGAGCGCATGGTCAGAATTATTTCTGCAAATTCCAAACCTTAATTAGTATTAATTCTTTATTATTATAAACTTAACCTATAATCTGATCCTCCGATTTTGAGGAAGTACTGGGGTAATTAACAATTGTAAGCTATCGCATATCGTCTATTCTTATTAACGTTGAGTACGAAATTTAGAAAACGGGTGTACAGAATTGTGAGTTTCACCAGGTATTGGATCATGATGCAATACTGTCTTTCTTTGTAACATAACCATCTCTTCATTCAAATAAAAAAGTAAACATTATATTTTTTGTTGGAAGGATGCTGTTACAAGTTATCACCTGTGTAGATTTAGAGCAATAGCCATGTATACTTTGACGGGTAAAATATATAGGAGATTTTTTCTATTTTTTTTAGAATGTGTCAGTATCGATCGCATATTGATAACCATCCAATTTAATGGCATCCTTTGCAAATTGCAAGTAACATATTCAGTCATGGTAAAACTTGGATGAGTAAATCGAAAATTACCTTATTTCTCCGACATTCCATTCCGCCAATGTTTTTACGATCCGGGCCATCAACTGGGTTGGAGCAATGGCCAAGATTCCCATAAGTCCCAGCATCCTACAACTTTCCGCGAAACCAATGTATGACAATATTCCGGAGAAGAATTTGATCACAATTCGAGTCCAGAGATGGTTCACCACTTTAACGGGAAGGATATCATGCCAGAGGTATTGATAGACATCCAAATTTGCCGCGAGTCCAAATATTGTCGCGAACAATGGAACGGATGAGAGGGGGAAAAGCATTGCGTACGCCGCTATCCCGAATGTGTCTAGTTCGCCTGAAGTCGTCTTCCATATTGGCTGTGGCAACAATCCGCCCATGTCTGACGGGCACAAAAAAAGACAAAAATCAACTTTCCACGGTTTCGGGTGAAGCAATTGGCTTTGCAGTAGTGGTGGAAGTGCAAATTGGACGAGATACTATGCAGTGAAACAAGTCACCAGGGTCTCGCAGGTAGAAAGACGGACAAACACACACAAACACACCCAAAAGGCCAGAAGGACAAGCCGGCAAAAATACAAACACACCGACTGAGAAGCAGGCAGACAGAAAAACAACGATTTACGATACAGTCTAATTCTCGAATGAGTAGTGTAATATGCCAACTTACCTTCTGTCTGGAATTGATCATACCGCCGGATCAACCAGTTGACCCTATCCACGGCTTCCTTGCCACTCCAAAGAACGTAAATCACCGTTCCCACCACCATATTCCCCGCGGTATTCATCATCACTGCGAGAAAGATATGTTTGATCTTGACGGCCGGATTTGGCTTGATAACCTGACGGACAATCATATATGTCGAGTGCCCAATGCTGATGAAGTAGAAGAAAAAGAAAACGACGCTCAGCCAGGCCGCGTACTTGGAAAGGTTGGCCTTCGTGATTTTCGTGTAGCTGAATTGCCTCGTTTTTAGGTCAAATTCAACCGGCATCTTGGGAAGGTATGAGTTGGCCGAGAAATGTACAGATACGGCTTTAAAGCCGAGGCGGGTCGGCATCTTGCAGGCGGAAAAACAGGTCTGAAGGAAGCTATTCACAAGATTTCATACAAAATTTCCGAACGTGGATATAATGAGGATATTGAGGAGGTTTTCCCATGCATAATTGGTGCCTGATAACTTCCTAATTCTAGAGTTTTTCTACTGATTGAGCTAATAGAGAGTTGGAGATTTTTTGTACTTTTACTGGTACTGTACTGTGACTACAGTACAATACAAAAATTAGTACAAAAATCAAAAACCTGGAGAATGTTCAAAATTTTGTACTCTGAAAAATTGTATTGTAAAACTCCGCGAAATAGATGATGAGTCAAAAATTGAGACAAATGAACTCATGATATACAAAATGAGAATCCCTCCACCATGTGCGTCTAAAACGATCAAAACTAAAAATTCCAAGTTTTTGACCCTCGACCTCGTTTAAAACGGTCACCAGGCTGATATAAGCCGAAATGATAGTAACTTCTGAACTCCTATCCTCAAAGTAAACTACGTCTGCACGGTCGAAATAAAAAATTAACATTTTTGACCTTTGACCTCGTCTACATGGTAACGGAGTCTTCATACGTTAAAACTATGCATATTTCTTAAATTCTCGCCTTAATACGTCTAAAACAGTCAACACTTCACTTTTGACCTTTGACCTCGTCCTTTCGGTCATGGGTTGGTCGTAGGTCAAAAGCATTGACGACGATGAATTCTTGGTGAGATTACCTTTAAAATACCGAACGCATATGAAAATTAAGGTACAATTTTGCGTTTACTTCACGCCAAGGTGACCTTGACCTTGACCACAGGGAGCCCATCTTTGAACTCGACCTAGGGTCAAAAATTAGAAGCAAAATGGCGAAAACGGCATCTGATTATATTGAGGCGTTCAAGAGATATCCTACTTGCAAACCATTGATTTTTCTACAGTAGTACAAACTGAGCTGGACAAACTGTAGGACAAACAAGTAGGACAAACTGTTTCAATTTGTCTACTGTAGACTGTAGAATTAGTACAAAAAGCTGATGACGTCATCATCTAGAGTCCACAGTACAGTCTACAGTCAGAGTACAAGGAATCTCCAACTCTCTAATAAAGCGGGTTTGTTTATTCCTTTTACATAGCTGAATTATGTACAAATTCTCATATCAACGCTCATAAGGTAGCATAGAAAGTCTGCATAAGTCAACGTATTTCCTGATTAACCAATTCATGTACTAAGGCCGACATTGTAGGCTATTCTAGCGATCGGTTGGTTAAATCTTGGACTACATATATGTAAGTGTGTAACCCTGCTTCTTAGAAAACATAAAAATTAACCAGACCTTGGTTTAAAAGAAACCAAGCTGTAATCCGTAATCTAATAAAAGTGGAGTATAATTAAAGCATGCCGTTCCAGGTAAACAAATTTACATATGTTTATGCAACGTACAAAAATTGTGTGTTGAAACTTTTTAATAGGTCAATATTTTGAAGGCGTGCCATCTGCATAACATTATTTACGTGGATATGCCTAGAAAAGATCAATAAGTTAGTTTTTAATTAAATTAGTTTGACTTAGTTTTTGGAAATTTTAATGTTTCTGGTGTTAAATATTCTGTCAGGGTTGGAAGTAGGAGACATGTTAAATTAACCCAACTTGGCGGGACCAGGAAAAATGTCATGAAAAAATAACCACCGTAAACCTCAGTCAACACTAGATCCCAATTAATAATCAGGGACAGAATCCGTACAATGTTTGAATTATTTGCAACTACAAACTACCGTAAATATGTTTCTCGCACCGATAAAATTAACCATATAGAAATATGAAGTGAAAATACACATGCATTAGTTAATTACTTGAGGTAATAATGAAATCGTCTGATTATTTATTTATTTAGAAATATCAGGTGAATATCACACCGCCGTCTTTGATGTAAGTCCACTTACAAGGGACACTCACGACCTGTCGTTTGAGTCCAGGGTACCCACTATGTTTTTTTAGAATCTACTAGGACCCCAGATGAAGGATTCATTCATATTTCTGTGCAAAACTCATATTTGGAGCCATGGCGTGGCGCCAAACTTAAAAATTTGCATTTTCGACCAGTTTCAAACCCCCATAACTTTTGCAGTTTATGTCGGATTTTCAAAATTTTGTGCTCAAAATGATCACAAAAGTCGAAATTTTTTAGAAAAAAAATAAACATACAAAATTGCTAATTTTTGAAATATTTTTAGCATTTTTTCGACGAACCCCATTTATAAGAAAATTACGAAATTTTGCGAAAAGTTAAAAGCGATAATTTTGGAAAAAATATCATTGGATACGAAAGTTGAACTCCTTGTCATGATTTGTGCCACATATTTTTAAAATCCGTCCAGGACTTCAAAAGTTATGGCGGTTTCAAAAATAAAAACATTCAAATTTGGCGAATTTGGCGCCACAAATGGCGCCAAATATGAGTTTTACACGGATATATGAATGAATCCTTCATCTGGGGTCCTAGTAGATTCTAAAAAACATAGTGGGTACCCTGGACCAAAACGACAGGTCGTGAGTGTCCCATGTTAGCAGATTAGTACTAGCCTATGCAAAGTAGGCTAATGTTTCCACATAATATGTGGAAACTATCAACAATTCTGTAATTAAACTATGACCCATAAATATATGGTGCGTGTTTAATTCTGAAATTCATTAGTAAAATGATTATCAGCTCCTAAGGCTTCAATTGCTTAAAAGCAATTCCACTAGGCAGCTTACAATTGGTGCTTGGAAAATATTGTACAAAACCATAATGCTTCTTAATTGAGAAGATATGTATACACTAACCGATTTTGTTGTTAGACGTTTACAGTTAATACGCGCTGATTCATCCTGTTTCCACTGGAGTGGAAATTGTTGGAAAAGGTATGACAATGTCGCGTCCCCCTAAGCCATTCTTCCTGTTCGTCGCAATGATTCCATTTTAATCTTATTCTGATTGTCACACGGATTGGAGCGGTCAATTTCTCGACGCCGACCTTACCTTCATATTTACTTCTTATTGTGCTTGGCTATTTGGACGTGGACAGGAATTACCCTTATTATTTTAAGGACGTCAGAAACATAAATCCCTATAAAATTAGTAAAAAGTGAAATGGGGGACACAAAGTTCGCCTAGAGTTAGCTATCACAAGAAGCGAGCTTAGTTGCGTCCGCCACAGTGGGCAGAAGCAAAATGATATGAATTTGTAAGTACATATATGAATATGTATTTCCAGGAAAAATATAAAAAAGGTCAAATGAGCCGCACTTAAATTTATTTTCCACAACTTAAATCAGTAAGGTAAGGAATATTTCATTGCATGCAATGAACCTCTTAACCCCAGGACTCTTCGCAAATTGCGTTGAACGCTACTTGGAACGCGGTAGGAAGACCTTGCGGTGCAATTCGGACTGATTTCGTACCCCCACCTTTCCGGCAATCTTGTAGGTTAATGGAAATTCTAAACGAGACCGATCCTTGGTATCCGAGTGCATTGCACACATTAGTTTCTTGCAAAGTTGCACCATTGCAGGCCGAAAAGTAGCGAATATTGAGCGTCCTATCGTCCAAACCAACCCGTTCGAGCCTAGTCGTTTGCTTGATCTTGTTGTACTGGGCGACTAGGAGGTCGACCACGTTGGCAGAATTACTGCTGAGGACGCCGATCGCAGCATTGGGTATGTTTTGTTTTAGGCCCTCGTAGGAACTGGTCACGTCTGAAGTCACGGCGAAGATTGGGACAATGGTCTTGTTGCGGAGGACCGTTATGACGTCCTGCTCGGATGGGTAGTCGTAGTGTGTTTGGCCGCTGTATGAACCGGTGGGGGATAGGGCACAGCGTTTGTTGAAAGTTGGCAGGTACGCCTGAGAACAGGAAGGGTACATTATTAAATATATAACTCCAAAAATCAGAAATTTAGTTTTATTTATTATTCAAACTTTCAGAAATAGAGACAAATTAAGAATCCAAATCTTAATTGTTTTAAAATTCTAAAAAGAGAGACCGACTAAATAACGTCAATTTGCGTCTCTGCACGCTAAAGATTAAAAACTAAAGAACGGGCTATTGAACAATCTATCTGTTCAATCATTCGAATTTTCCAGAAAGTTATAATTTTAACATGTGGACGTGTTATGAAAACTCTAAACATATTACACATACGGCAAAAAACGTGAATAAACGGCGGTAAAACCGAAGGGGTTAACAAATTACCCGTGCATCACCCGCCTTGTGGTATTTGGCGTCCGTCATGAGAAGCAAAATATGGTGGGAATTGTTCCTCCAGCCAATCTGTGCCGTACAGTCTGCCACTTGATACATGGCGTCCAATTGGCTCTCTGGAAGATCACCGCCATCACTCACCCTACTCTGAGAAATAGCTGACCTGAATAGACTTGCATTTTTGGTGAGTGGCACCGAGTTAATGAAGCTGGTACTGAAAGTTAGAAAATAAACAATTCTCGAAATTTTTGCCATTTGAAAAACAATAATGAAAATAGGATTTCATTCAGACACAAAAAATTTGATTTGCATAATGTGCCAAAATCTCTAAATGCGTAACAAAAATGAAAAGCTGAATCTGTTCAAACACAGGTATATTCATACATACATACATATTTCTGTATGTATGAGGTATGTATGTACGTCATATTATGGTGCGAAGTCTAGAGGAACCATTTTATGTTTTGGCTAGAATTAATAATTTAACATAAGCGAAACCAAAAAATCCAACTTGCCATTATATGCATGCAGTAAATTTAATTTTTAGAAACTTACGCCCATGGGCCACCAAACGATTTGAAGGGTTTATCAATGTGGACGCCATACCCAATCTGGAAGTTGGTCCCCATCGCTTGAACAGCTGTGATGAGGTGAGAAGTTAAGCTTTTCAGGTTGAGTAGATCGTCATCCATGGAACCGGAGAGGTCGACGAGAACGTAAACGTCAATGGGGTGGGACTCCAGTTTGAAGGTAACGTCGAATGTCTTGTTCTCGTTAGGACAAAGGGTGAGGGATTGGGTTGGGGGCGGCGGGAGGTTAGGATCAATCGAGACCTTGATAACTGGGGACCCACATGCAAATCCGGAACACTTGTAACGCTCCAGGTTTTGGTAGGTGTCGCAGCGGAAGTGAGTATAGGTAGGAAGGGTGCAGAACGAGCAGTTGTTGGCGAGACAGGTGGTCATCGATGAGTACCTGTTGCAGTTGTTGTCTGTGGGGAATGAAAAGGTTAAATTGGTTTGACTTATGGCGGTCTACCTCTGAAAATTTTAACTAACTTACGGTAAGTAGGGCTAGTTGTGGTTGGTGTGGTAGTAGTAGTTGGAGTGGTTGTAGTAGTTGGAGTGGTTGTAGTAGTTGGAGTGGGAGTTGTAGTTGTACGGGTGGTTGTAGTCGGACTGGTGATTGTAGTCGGACTGGTGGTTGTAGTCGGACTGGTGGTTGTAGTTGAAGGGATTGTAGTAGTGGCGGTGCTAGTGGGAGCGGGACTAGTGGTTGTGGTTGAACTGGATACAGTTGGTCGAGTAGTCCTTGTTGGACGGGTAGTCCTGGTCGGACGGGTGGTTGTGGTTGGACGGGTGGTTGTGGTTGGACGAGTGGTTGTGGTTGGACGAGTGGTTGTGGTTGAACGGGTAGTTGTGGTTGGACGGGTAGTTGTAGTTGGTGTAGTTGTTGTTTGACGGGTAGTTGTGGTTGGTGTAGTTGAAGTTGGACGGGTGGTTGTGGTTGGTGTAGTTGTAGTTGGACGGATAGTTGTGGTTGGACGAGTGGTTGTGGTTGAACGGGTGGTTGTGGTTGGACGGGTAGTTGTAGTTGGTGTAGTTGTAGTTGGACGGATAGTTGTGGTTGGACGAGTGGTTGTGGTTGTACGGGTGGTTGTGGTTGGACGGGTAGTTGTAGTTGGTGTAGTTGTAGTTGGACGGGTAGTTGTAGTTGGACGGGTAGTTGTAGTTGGACGGGTGGTTGTGGTTGGACGAGTGGTTGTAGTTGAACGGGTGGTTGTGGTTGGTGTAGTAGTGGTTGAACGGGTAGTTGTAGTCGGTGTAGTTGTTGTTGGACGGGTAGTTGTAGTTGGTGTAGTTATGGCTGGAAGAGTGGTTATGGTTGGTTCATGGGTTGTAGTTGTTTCAGTAGGTGTAGTTGGTTCAATCGTCGCAATTGGTTCAGTATATGTAGTTGGTTCAGTTGTTGTTGTTACTTCAGTCGTCGAAATTACTTCAGTTGCAATGGTAATGGTATCCTCAATTATTGGGGTCTCCTCCGTTGGTATAGTTGTAGGTTCCATAGTAGTTGCTGCGATCGTTAACTCAGTTACTGGCGTATCCTCATCTGTTGTTGTTTCTGTCGGTGTAGTTGGTTCAGTTGTCGTCGTTAGGCAGTCAGAATGACCATTATGCCACAGCACGATCTCGTCAATATACAAAGAACTATCCAAATGAAGCGATCCATTAAAATAGATCTACATACCATAAAATCACATCTTACATACGTATCACCCAGAATATTTAAGCATATTTTTGCAAAATTTCTAGACTTCGAGATATTTCTTTGTTCATCTCACCGTTCCCGCCGTATGGTCCAGTAAAAACTCGTCATGATCCCACGCGAATATATTGTGCGATCTCAAAGTGTGGAAATCGACACCTTCCTTCCTCCCCAAGATCGGGACGGGCCCAATGACACTTTCCGTGTCCAAGTTACAATATCGGATCGACATCTTTAAAACATTGACGTCACAGATGTGTTTGTGAATCTGAAAATTGAAGGAGAATTTTTGCGCGTCGTCTACAACCTCGTCGTCCTCTTCATCCTGCCCGCCAAATCTTGTCAAGTAGAAATATTCGGAGCCTGGCTCGACCGGAAGTCCGCTGGCGGGGCTAGCCTCCATCATATCCCAGTCGATCTCGGTGTCAAAATAGTTCAGGAATTCAGCCCTGTTCCCCAGCACCAGTCGGTCCCTGTATTCTTGGCCATTCGCCGAAATTATAGCAAAAAATAAGACGCACAGTTTTAGGATTTGCATATTGATTCAATCCGTTCTGCTGCAACGTTTAAGTTTTGATCTGGGTTCAGATTTCCCCTTAAATACTAAGCAGGCCAAATAAATTAAAGGATAAAATTGTCAAAAGGGAGATTAGGATAGCTATGTTTACAACCAATTAATCCCCCACACTAAATAAATTTGAGTGGGATTTCCGAGTAGTTAGATTAACAAATTGATGCGAGACGAGGGGTTGAGTCAAATTTGGTAAAGCGTGGTACCACACACAAATGCGTGCTACAAATTAGCAGTTCTGTGTTTCTTTTACGCAACAAGTAATCTCACTAGCTGTTCAAAAATGTTTCTTCATTCAAACTTCATTCCTTATATAAATCGAAGATTAAGTTATATTCTTTATACCTAGGTATATAGTTACATATATAAAGTTATATAGTTATAGTTATATTCTCATATTCTTGACTAAATTTATAAGCATCAACTTCCTCTTATTGGATAGATGTCTCCATATAGCCCATTAATGTATAACGTATGGACTGTCCCCTTATTGAAAGTGTCAAGCTATTTTAACCTGTAGAAAATCCATTCATGAATCAAATCCATTCATGAATCAAACGTTTGTGGAATACTAACGATGAGCATACCGAAGTTTTTTAGTCCTTGAGTTGTCCAAATACAATTTCCGTACCAATGGAGAAAATATTTTGTCGAGATCCACCCATGAGCGCTTTGCCACTCGTTTTTCGAGCTTCTATGACGGTTTTCTCTATAACCCACTGACATTATTCCGATTTTGTTTATGTCCAAGAGTTTCTTAATTTGTTGTTAATAAGTTGTTTCCTAATTTACGGCAAAAATCATTCAATGGGTAAAGAATGAGGTACGTTTGGAGCGTTATCTTTCTTATCGAAAAAATCAACTTTTTCCCATCGAAGGTACCATGTCACTATTTTGTCATTCTATCACGCATCCATTTCAGGCCAAAATATGTTTTTTTTTCTGAAGGGGTAGATAAATCTTTTGATGATTCACTCTTTTAAATAAAGCCTGAAGTTCATATTCTTGGTGGAAGCGAATGGATTTGAGACGCTCCAATTTTTGTCGACTGCAAGCAATTTTATGTATTTCATCGGAAATTTTGCTTGTGTTGGAATTTATATTTCGAACAAACTTCATTTCGACTTCTACATGAGTAGAACTTTACACCATTGATGCATCGAGGTCAACGGACCAGCAGTTTTAATCATTCACGACGACAAACTTGTAGGATTCCATTTCAACATTTTCTCAACAAGTTTTCGGCAATTTGTTTTAGCTTCGGCATTTTCATCTTCGTTGTATTTTGACGCGGTTTAAGTATTGTTCGTTTTGAAGCCCATCTTATTGGCTATGACCTTGCGAAGATAGGTTTTTGGAATTTTTAGTTTTCTGGGTGCAGCCTTCACGGATCTGTTCGGTTTTTCTGTAAAAGTTTTTTCATGTCTTTCGTCGGTGTTTTGATATTCTGACGGACAGGTCGACAAGGCCAAATTTTATTTTTTCCATTTTCACGATCCCTAGATACGTGTAGTGTATGATGAATTTTGTCCGGGATGTCCATTGAACAATGAAGTGCTTACGAGCCATTTTCTGATTCGAGAAAAACACTTTTTCGCACGAGTGGCAAACAAATTTTTCCACCTCCTCAACATTTTGTAATTGCTGTCATGCTGTCCTTTTTCTGATGAAAAGAGATAATCAAATTCTGTTTTCGGTTTTAGAAAGCTTATCCAATTTGCAAATTTTGAGGATTTTTACATATGCAAAATTAACAGTTAACAGGTTTAACCAATAGTGGGAACCTTGACACTTTCAATAAGGGGACAATTCATATGAGCTGAGAAATTGATAATAAATAAAATTATCCATTCATTTTTCATGAATACGTTTATCAATGAGTATTTATCTAATATTCAACATTTAAAAAAAAATATGAAAAATAATTCATTCATTATTCATTTATTACAATGAAACCTTTTTTCAAGCTACAAGTGGATTGCATAGCGAGTTATAGAAAAAAATAAAGCCAAAAATTAGAAATGACGTGACGCTTATCTTTCCGTTGAGTGGCCACCTTGAAAAATAAAATTGGCGGAAATGTTCAATTTTCTGTTAATTTTCTCTCGCCTTTTCCTCTATGGGGCGAAAACTTGGACGTGTGAACTTTTGACCCTCCATAAATGTATTCAACGGAAAGATATGTAAATATCACGTGATTTCTAAATTTTATTTTTATTTTTGTGTATAACTCGATACATACATAATCCCCGTGAAAATGTTTCATTGTTTGTGAATTACATAAATATGCATTCATTCTCAATCAATGAATTTGGGCTGCGACATCTGATTTTCTCATATCAAATCTTGCCAGGCTTTATTTAGCGTGCCAATTGGCAAACATTTCAACGAAATTTTGACCCAGTATCTATTTGTGGTGGAAGCATCACATAATTCTCGTGATGCTACCGGAGTGATCAATTGATTTTGGCTTTGTTAAAGCGGGGATAATTAATTTAGAAAATGAGTTTTTAAGTCATTAATCCGGTCCAATAAAGGTTATAGATAAATGTAATTTACAATCGAGTTTTCCCAGCCATAAATATTAATCATGTGTAACCTTGACCAATGCACTGACCCATTACGATGCACATGACATAATGCAAGGTTCTACAAAGCTTGAGCGAGGTGAGCATATCAGCAAAGTGTACTTTGTGCACAGCACATTATGCTTACAGATTGCCGTGGCAGTGTGTACTGCATATTTGCACTGTAAATAAAGCCGAGTAAAATTTGCGATGACACATCTGAGTGTGCAAAATTAACCCTGCTTTGTCGGCTAATTCTGTGCCTTTGATGCAAAATAGTGTCATAATTCTGCATAGGGTGGTCGCTAATTTAGCACCTTTGGTGCTAAGTTATATCCAAATTATTATTACAGGGCGAGCTACTGCTAACGTTACTGCGGTTTCCATTTAATACATGCACTTAAGCGCGTCAAGTATTGTATGACCGAAAAAAATTTTCCCAGGGTCTCCAGTTCGGTTTTTAATTGTAGACGACCATGTGTTGTCTTGGGTCCTGGCTGTAAATACAGTATTTTCAGTATATACATATTTGAGTGCATAATGTGAAAAAATTGAAGTATTATAAATCTTATCAAGGGAATGTCCATTGATTGATTCATAAAAAACAGCGATATCCGCTCATTCACAATCCTATTGACATATTTTTATTTTAACACAGGAAAGAAAGACGAAAGAAAGAACACAGGAAAGATATTTATTTGGAGAGTAAATTAAGTTAAAAATTAGGTTAATACTTGCTTAATTTAATTCGTGGCAACAGCGTGAAATTTACTTTAGCATATAAACGTGATAATAAGTCTAGTGTACGAATCATGACCACCAATATACATTTATGTTGTATTTGCGTTCAGTTTGCATGAATATCTTGAACAAATAATTAATTCATTTTTGGAATTGCACTTATGTCTTTAAATAGTTTTTACTGTGCACTTATGTGGTTTCGGAATTAAGTATCGGGTGCACTTACGTTGTTTCGGAATTAAGCATCGAGTGCAGTTATGTGGTTTCGGAATTAGTACGACGACATATTAGACAGTTGAGGCGACAGATTTCGTACGCACTGATGAGTAGCATGCCAAACCGGATGCAGTGAAGGGTTGAAACAGAACGACAGTTGAATCCGTAAGTACTGGAAATGGATTGCACGATGTAATAATAATTGTCGACCGACATTATCATAGCAGAACAAGTAAGAAGAAAGGGTAGAGCTCCATACAATCGGATCAAGCTAGTGAAGAGGGCCTCCAATTTTGAGATTACGGGGTTCGAAAATCCTTTGGAGTTACCTAAATATCAAAAAATTAACATGAATGACAAGACTTTATACGGTTGGTTGTAAAGAACGTATATACATCTGAATATAACCTACAATTTGCCAGCGGAAAACAATGTTCCATCTTATTTCAATTTCCATTAAATTCAAAAATGACAATATTACAGCATTGTTAAAAAAGTTAACCATCGCCTTAACAAACTTCACACAACAATTACACCCAATTATATTGATATCACACAGGCGCGGCGGAAGATGATTTTCGCCGGGGGGACAACCTCAAAAGTTTTCTAAGCCGCTCGCGCCTTCGGCGCTCGCGAACCTTTGCCGTTGCAAAGTATAATTACTATTTGGCACGTAACCCTTTTTTCTATTGTTCATGCTATTTTTCATCCCTTTTTAATGCCTTGTTAGTGCTGTTTTGGTAGATGGCATAAGTTAAAGTCTTTTACTTATTAGTAACATGCTCTTACAGACTGTATTACTGTTTCATGCTGTATTTATGCCATATTAAAAAAATACAGAATTCATTTATTGATTCTAATTTTATTGAAGGGTCCTAGCTAGTGCTCCGTATGAATCCGATTTTTATCGGATTTGGATTCGTTCGAATCTGGATTCGCACTGATCCGAATCTCAAGGATCCGGATTCGGATTCGAGTGGATCGAATCCAGTGAAACCAGGATTCAAATTCAGATTCGTAGTGATTCGATTCCGGATTCGAATCTAATTCACAACTTGCACAACATCAACCAATCAATTAATCGGTTAAAACAATCATATTTGTATTGTTTCCGATACGTTGTTCAACACATAATTTATAAAAAAATTGAAATTGGTCGAACACTACGCAGTATTTCCGAAAATTTTACATTTCACATTTGGTCTCACATTTTATTTTCATCTCGCCTCACAATATAACCAGGGTTTCGATCAGGGTCGAACTTCGGGTATTTTGAGCTTGCCGGATAATTTTTAAAATTTAATAAGGGATTTTAGGTATCACACATATACATATTTTTGATACAAAACTTTATTCATAGTAAACAAAAAATTTGACCATGATACCAGCATTGTATTTAACCAATTTTCACGGTAATTGGTGCGAAAAAATCTTGCTCAAAACTTTAAAAACTATATTGACGTCAAAGTTATTACACAAGTTCAACCTAGAATTGTTCAAGTTGTTTTGAGAGTTCGAGAGTGCTATGGAATACACGTGTATATGGAAAACACGGAAAATGGGAGAAATTCTGTTTTGGGCAATCCGGACCAACTTTTTTAAAACTATAAGATTTTCGAAATCTTAAAAATGATAACAAATGTTTTCCCGATTTTTCCACCAGCCGGGAGCAAAAATTTATCGTCTTTTACATTTTTGTAAACTCGTAATAAATAAATAGATAGCATGCAAATCTCAAACTTGTGAACTTTTAAAGACAGAATTTTTATAACCTAAGGGAAGTCTGAGAAAAATTGTGCTTAATTTTTGAAATCGTAAAATTCGAAAAGCTACTTCATTTCGGCATGGCTTGACTAATTTTTAAAGCAAACGTTTTATGCACGCTAAATAAGTACGTTTTGAAAATCAAATTACATAAGTACCGAAAATCCTTCACGCGCATAATCTGCTCAGTTTTGGATTGACCCAAATAGCAAAATTAGCCCTGTATGGAGCCTTTCTCAAATTGAGAAAGAAGCCATTAGGCAAAATGAACGTAGGCGTCGCGACGCCTACGTTCAATAACAATAACGAAAGTCGTTATTGTTCCGACGTTCTACTAGAAATTTTAACAAAACTAAGCAGCTCCTTAGAATTGATATTACGTGCATAAGTATTCCATATTGTTAGTTCAAAGCTCCTAACTAAATCCGTCAACAAACTTAAGGAAATAAATGGAAATAAATAAAATAAAATTTCATTATCAACATAATAATGCCCAAAAAGATTTTGGAGATATTTATGTGCACTATAAGCCAATTTTGCTTGAGCCTCATACTAGTTTCGATTTCTTTGAAATATAAAATAATTTGTGAAGAGTTAAAAGAAAAAAAATATTATTATGCATTTAATAATGTAGATTAGATGATCTTATTCTCAATTTTTTAGGGGGGACATTAACATGACTTGTCCCCCTGGCACATTTTCTGGGGGGACAATGTCCCCCTGTCCCCCTGCTTCCGCCGCCACTGATATCACATTGAGTACAGAGTTGACCAAACCAAGATTCACTTCTTATTATTTACAAATGTTTCGCTGAGTCTTTCAATTTGGGATAATCACATTTCACAACTGTTAGACAATAAAGTACAATGTTAACTTTACACAAATATTGTCATTGCATTTTTATGCGATGCCCAATTGAAATCACAAGAAAATGACTGGAAATATGTATATGTTTATTTCCAGGCAGCATCAGTGACCTACATAAACGTTATAATTCTTACCAGAATCCGCCAATTTACCATGCCATTTCTTCATCTCGATCGGCGTCCCTTCCATAAACAATCTACAATTTTGTGGCGTGTGATTTACAACTTTTTGACATTTAAATATCTATAATTTCACCAGTTTTAGCCGAATTCATTAGAAATTTTGCACGAATGTAGCACGAGATATTGGTAACAATTGGTCTAAAAACGAATTTGAAATATTAACCCCTTGTGGAGTATTTGTGATTTATATATTGCATGCATGCCTTGCATCTAAAATAAAGTGACATACTGTAGATATCACTTTAATCATCATTTTATTTAACACGGATGATTAAACAGTTATCAACTTTTTATCCATTATACAAATAAATACGAACACATTTACATACATACATATTTACATATCCTCTCCGTATGCTGTGTTAGCTCCAGCCAAAAAATATTTATGTATTTACATAAACCTGCTTAATTTCTAGAGTCCTAAAGTTTCCAAAATTGGATCTCTGCGTTGTATAACTTCTTCTTGGAAGCGCCTAACGCTATCGTCGAAGCCGAACGGGTCTCTGAGCAATTCAGGTGGATCAATCGTGGCATTTGTGGCGCAATATGAGTAGGTATCTTTGTGATGGTGTGTGTACGCTATGTCGCGATGTATTCTAAATAATGCAAATTAAGTCACAAGGTCAAACATAGATGAGTTTTTAGAAAGTAGTGCAGTTAATGCATTCTTAAAATAGTGCTAAGGCGCCGTTCATAAATTACGTAACGCAAAAATCGCGATTTTCTAGACCCCCCCCCTCCCCTCCTTTAACATGTGTAACATAGGCACGATATCATTGGAGCCTTAGACCACCCCTCCCCCCCTCTTGCGTTACGTAATTTATGGATATCCCCTAACCTTTTGGAAAATATGTAAATGCACTCTGAGTTTTATACTTCTACATATACAGGGTGTTAATAAAGTCCGATCCCATTTTTCCTGTAAAAAAGTGAAGGCTAGTATAAAAAAAAACTACCCGTGATACTTACAAAAAATGTTCGACATATTTACCTTAGTATTTGGTCTTGTTACCATTTACTTTAACCATGCCCTCAACTCTTTGTTTAAGGCTCTGTGCTAATTTTTCCAATGTGCCTCTGGAAATCGAATTCCATACATCTTGAACTTTTTTTTACTAGCTCTTCCCTCGTCCGGGGTTGTGGCTCTTTGTATACATTTTCCTTAAGTATGGACCACTGGTTCTTCAGGGGATTCAAATCTGGGCCGTTAGCGGCCCACACCCCCTTGCTCCAGACCGTTGAAACTTGCGTCTTGATGAGACTCAAACTCGCTTTTGCTGTATGGGCTATAGCACCATCCTGCATGAAAACTATTTTTCTTTCATTCGGAAATATTTCCTTGTTCCCCATGCTATCGAAATAGATAGGTAATATTTTTTCCATATAATGCTTTGCATTGACTGATTGGCCTTTTGGTATGATATGTAGAGGGGTCACGCAACGTGCACAAAATCCACCCGCTACCATAACTTTAAGCCCGAATTTTGGGATCGCTCTTGATGGTACATCCGATTTGTTTTCTGTCCTGTAACGAACATTTTGTTGGTTCAATTTTGGATATAGTTCAATAATAGATTCGTCAGTCCAAAGGATGTGACTGCGCAATTCTTCACCAAGTCTTTTTTCACTCAAATGGGCACTTTTCTGAAGGAGTTCTTCAAATTTCAGACGGTCATCGATATATTTTTGTGACATGAGAGGTTTTTTTGGTTAGTTTGTAAGCTGTGTGACCCCACTTCGTAGTTTTCACAAATTTTTGCACGGTCACACAGTTAATTTGCTTCTTCTTCTCTTTATAGCGTTTTGAGTCATTTAACTCCCTTGCTCAATTACGTAATGAACTACCGGTTTTCTTGCAAAGTCTGTTTTTAATCATTCTTTTTGTGGTAGGTGACACCTTTCTGGGTCGCCCTGGTCGCTTTTTGTCGTGGACAAAATTTTTATTCTTCCATTTCCAAACAGTTCTGCGGCTGCAGCCCAATTTTTGCACAATTTCTGTAGGTTTAAGCCCCTGCTGATGCAATGTTTGTATCTCAACTCTAAGATGCTCATGACTTACACGTTTAGTTGTTCCTCCCATGGTAAAAATTTGAAATAAATAACTTCACTGGTTCAAAAGTTCCAGCTGAATTTGTAACAACCACGCTCCAAAAAATGCATGGGATCGGACTTTATTAACACCCTTTATTAAGCGAATTAAATATACTAAATTCAGCTTTAATTTATCTCAATATAAGGTTAGCGTTACTCTAAATTTAATTCACAGTTTACTTGATATCGAGTTCAGAGTGTATTTTCTTTTCAGAAGGGTGACATTATTTTTAAGAGTGTATTTAACACAGTGCTTACCGTTTGGAGCAAGAAGTAACACCCTCCAGACATGCAGAGGGCGAGTGATTATGAACAAGAAGAACGGATTCCGTATTGTGGAAACATTTCACATTAGTGTGACGACCGGAATTGCATAAGTAAGCTTTGTCGAAATACACTTTCTGTAAATGTATATTTAATTCAATTTGAATTAGAAATGAAAAATATTTTCATCAATCATTGGTGAAACATGCATCTTAATAAAATTTACAATGAAAATATCTCAGCGTACGACCTCCGATTTTGGCAAAATTAGTGTCGGTCGATCATAAATTTAATTAATAGTTACTAATTTGCAAAAAGGCAGTACCCGCAAATTGCTAGGTTTAACCGGAATATTGGGACCCAAAGGGGGGAAACGCGCTGTAAATTTAGATATTGCAAAATTTTACAACTTTCTTTCTTGTTTCATCCTTTTCGAATGCAAATATCTCTGACAAAAGTGACCGTTGGAAGATTTCCAGTAATTAGAATAGCATACGCTGGTAAGCCTAAATTGTTAACAATTAATTTAAACAAATGTGTACTCACGTTCATGACGTAAGGAAGCTGTGGATCAGGATCATTGAATAACTCGGGACGGATTTCGTGCAGATCCGCCACAAGAGTGCCGTTCGTCCGTTGCATCCTGTCCAGGAATAATTTCATGTCGAAGCAGAAACTGTAGTGAGTGACGTTAGTATTCATTTTCTCAAGCTCTTCAAAGAGTTCGGGGTAATTAGTGAAGGTGCTGTTTGCCGTGGGTAATACAACCTGTTAAATTGACATAAAATTATTAATTAAAATTATTAAAAATGTTAAACATAGAATGTAATCATAGTATTTACAAAAATATTTTAAGCAGACCTCATCAATATCGATTATCGCAATATACTTATAACGATACATGTTCTCCAGAAAACAGGCCACATAGGGTATCAACTCGGATCTCAATTTGACATTGTTGTTTCGCTACGGAACAAATACAAGATCAAAACTTTATAAAAAATAATATGGCATTAATAAAGAGATTGCGAGTTAAGGGCTCTACACGAAACTTTCTACTAAACGCTAAAACTTTGCACTTTCACAACGTGAGGAATTAGTGTATAAACCCTTAATTCGCAATCGCTCTAATATATTAAAATAGCCTCATACCCTTAATAATAAATGTCGCAAGTGTGGCAAATTACTGTACGGTCCGGGAAGACTAAACGGTTTCAGGTGGACAATTGGATGATCCTCATCTTCATAATACTTCAGTACCTTATCAACATTCGGATGTGCCGCCATGTACGGAAAGTGAATTCCACTAACCCCCAAAACTCTGAGCAGCTCAACCATCTCAATAATTCGGCGGGACAAGTCCACCTCAGAGAAATCCAGCCACTTGAAACAAACCCCGAAATCGCCAACTCTCTCATCCTTGTTGACCACTTTCAGTTGATTAGTTGCTTGCTGACACTTCTGATAAACTATTGAAACGGAGGCAGGCCATTCAAACCCATCCGAGTTGTCAACTTCAGCGTCAAACTCGTCAATATCGTCCAAATGACAGGTAACCAAGATAGGGTGATAAGCACCGGATTGACCCCACGGCCAAATATTTTTAAATGTAGCCTGAAAGTTGGAATACCATTTTTATTTGATGTTCAGACAAGAATATTACGGAGATTGCGAATTTCGGGAATTTCACTATAAATGTCACTTTAACATTAATTTTGACTCCCGTAAAGTTAAGCCTATGCTAACTTTACCTAAGTCTTCCATTATTTACATTTTAAAGATTTTAACCAATATTTTAACCATTGGTACGGGAACGCTAAACATTTTGTCGTAACTATAAAGTGCAACGCAATTGAATTTTGAAAATAATTTTCACATTAACAATTTTACAGACCTCACGGGAACATTTACGCTAACCGAAAATTGTGTATCTCAACCTTAATTCGCAATCTCTCTATTATATCAAATTTTAATATTGACTTGTTTAATAAATAACTATTAACTAATTAATGTTGTTTACACACATTTGTGGTACTTATGAAGGAATTATTCCCCGACCATAAATTGCACCAAACCGTGAAATTCGCTTTCCTAAAGGCGTCATCTATCATGGTCACGACACGAATCTTTTTACCGGTGCCACGCCCATCAGCGTTCGCGCTATAGAGATACATCATTCCAGTCGTATTTTTCTCAATCACGCGCAGCATCTGCGTATGTATATATTGCTAATTATTTAATTTGCATATCTATTTTCAAAATGTACACTCTTAAAAATAATATTACCCTTTGAAGTATAAATACACTCTTTTATTATCTTGACAATAACTTGAAAGTTGACGCTAGTCTGGATTTAGAATAGTTAAATTAACATAAAACTCAAGGTGAACATAAATACATCCACTCTAACGGACCGTTCATAAATTATGTAACGCAAAAATCGACTTTTTTCAGACCCGTCAAGGTTAAATAAACATAAGAAAGTGACACAAACAGTAGTTAAAATGTATCCAACCGTTGTGCAAAATTTGTCAAACGTTTCATCACATTTTTCCAAGCGCCGAAAAAATTGCTGATTAAGTTTTATCGCTTGTGGTAGTCCTATCCTCTTTGTTATTCAAGCTTGAGTAAATTTTAGTTATTTTTATTTACCGTGTAGATACATTCTTTTCAAAAGGGTAGCATTATTTTTAAGGGCGTATATATATTTGCCCATACATATTTACCTGCCAGTACGTGTTACTGAAAAGTATTTCATGCAGGTGAGGGGCACGACTGCATGCCTTCGTTTTAGGCCCTGCTGCCATACTTGCTACATTGTTGAAGTCAAACACTCCGGAAGCTTCCCCTCCCAGAATTTCGTCATCAACGTAAAAATTCTGTATGGATTCCAATTCCGCTCTTAAATTTTCCAATGCAGATCCCGATTTTCCGTCTTCTTCACCCGATTCGTTTTCTTCTTCACCTTGATTAACTGATTGTTTCCAAAACATCACGGATTGTCGAAGTTCATGTACTTTCCTCGGTATAAAGTTAAACTCAATTTGTCCCTTTTGTCCCGAAAATATTATGGCGAAGAAGACAAAAAACACGAGAAGTGACGTCCCGACGAAAATTCGTCGTAATGTTGCCATATTTTTGCCAAGGATGGAGTTTTTCAAATTTGAGTTTTCAATTCTTCTCTGAGTTATTGTTTAAAAATCTATAAAAAAAAAGATTTGAAATCTTTAATATTATCTTTTTGCAAAGAAATGTACGGTGAATTCTAAGTGAACGAAACAAACGACGTAGTCTAAATCCTGACCTCACTTTAATCGTTATTAAATTATTGACGTTTTCCCGGATTTATGTAGTGCATCTTACTCAACATTTAGTAATCCGGCAGGAGTACAATTACTTTTTAAAGGATAGAAATATTTTTAAGAGTGTAATAATTAATTAGAGACAATATTCTTAAGCTGTTATCAATTAAAAAAAATAGAATAATGAAAGACATCCAAGTCTTTCCACCTTGCACGGGTCACCCAAAAGTGTAGTGTGGATGGTCATGTTTCATTTAACAATGTCTTGTTCGGCTTATCTTATCTGCCATTATGCCGACGGTTCTGAGATTTGTGTGTACTTTGCACGCAATCCAATGCGATTATGGGATTAAAACTTTGATGTCAGACTTTCACTAATGGAAGGATTATATACTAATAAATCGGCACTTAATTCTGGTAAATTTCCAACACAAGGCATTGTGTTGAGTGCACCCATTGCAATGGGTGCACTCATTCGTCAACAGTCTGTACTCACAATGGAGGTCTCATAGAGTATGCGCACAAATTTGGATCAAACTAGCGTCAATCGATTGCAAATATAATTAGTACGAAATTTGCAAATGGAACAATCTGCCAATGCGCAGGTTTGGCGGAGATATTTGCATCCAAAGCGGGAAAAATGCGCAGCAAATTCGGAAAACGAAAAATTTGCCAGCCTTGGGGGTGCATTTTCTCCTCTTTTTGAGCAAATTTCTCTGCTAAACCTGCGCATTGGCAGATAGTTGCATTTGCAAATTTCATACTAATTACATTTGCAATCGATTGACGCTAGTTTGATCCAAATCTGTGAGCATACGTTGGGAGACCTCCATTGTCAGAAGAGAACCTGATTACCGGATTGTATCACCGGATTATCAAGAGCAGGTGACTACATAGGTATGTGCGACTCTATCGCATTATGATCCTGCGTCACAACTTGGTCCCCGCGTGGAAATAACCCAACACTTAATCCGTGCTACTCAATAATCACGTAGAAAAATACCACAACCAACAACACAAAAACCAGGATCAGTAAAAGTGTGATGATCAATAAGGCAGCGTCACACTAAACCGAATTTCTTACAGTGCCGGCAAATATGTAGTAGTACACGCATACATAATAATTTTCAATCAATTTTTAAAATTTTCAATTGATTCAGTTTCTGTTTCAATTTTTACTATAGGTGTTTTTTCTTGTGATTCAACATCAGTAGCGGCAACACCAAGAAATAACCACGATAAAATTAGACAGTTAGAAAACAACGCTAAAACACCAACAACATACTGGAATGGACTGAATTGAGAAACTCGGATCAATATCTTTTTTTCTGTTAAAATTTTGTAAAAGAATAATAATGTTTCATTTTCATAAAATGGTCTGCCGAACGAGATTAACAAGGGAAAAATTCGGGTTATACCTATAAAGCCGGTCCCTCACCAATTATGTAAATATGAATGAGATGGGCAATAAATGGCAAATGTTAAGCAGCTCGACGCCGGCATAATTATAGACCATAAAATAATATGTACATATGTATAGCGAATGTGGAACTGTTCTCTTTATCGTCGTACTAATTCATAAAAGACCTAAGTGCAGTCTATGCTTAATTCAGAAACGACCGAAGTGCAGTCGATGCTTAATTCAGAAACGACCGAAGTGCACAAAAAAAAGCAAGAAAAGACCTATGTGCAAGTATGTATTTACTTATGGCTAAATCGCGCGACATATGAAGACTCGTTTTGGCAAGATATAGCCATAAGTAAATACATACTTGCACATAGGTCTTTTCTTGTTTTTTCTGTGCATTTAGGTCTTTTCTGAATTAAGCATCGACTGCACTTAGGTCTTTTATGAATTAGTAAGACGTTATGCTATTTTTCATACTTCAATCCTTACTCTTGTCGGTAGAGTTTCGTTCAATCAATTGGTTTCTGTGTGCATCGCAAAACTCCACATATGTAAAACGCATAAACCATGATTTGCTTATTATGCTCAATAACAGGTTCGCTGTCTACGCACTGGATAAAGTAAGATAAGATAAGATAAGACTTGGATGACAACGTGATCTGCTTCGCAATACTAAAATCTTTGACTACATAATTGTTTATTTTTAGAGACGGTTTCACATTATGTAAACTGCGCCCTAAATAAATCCAGACTAACGTTGACCTGATAAAAAGTGAAGCCTAGCGCAAGTAGTAAGTACTTGCTTAGTTTACTGAACTCAGAATCGATACTGCGATTGAATTTAGAATTAAAAATATAACATTATTTTTACCGATGTACATACATTTTCGGTGCAAATACCTTTCCACAGGATATATAAAGGGTGTTGACGCAATTCGTAGAGATGTTTCTTTGCAAAAAACACGAGTATTTTATACCGTGGAGTAGATGAATGACTAAAAGCCAATTTTTTTTATGAGACATAGCTTAACTCATAATCATTTAGTTCAACCTTGCCTTCAACTCGTTCCTATCGGGTCTTTACTAATTCTTCTAAAGTTGTTTGGAAACATAAGGCGGGACGAATTAAATCTAGACACTTTACTGTTTTCTTATTTTTTCAGGTTAAAATCTTCTCTTAGGCGGGTTCCCATCTGTGCAAAATCCAGACTGTATAAATGTCTTCTGATTAACAACAGTTAAATAATATCTTACACATTTAGGTTGCAACTACACGTGTTTGAATTTCAATAGTATTTTTAATGTTGGCATATTTCTTCGTAGTAAATGAAAATTAGATAAGCTTAATAACAAAAAACTGACTTCTCGTCGCGCATTTTATTAATAACAAATTAAACTCAAATTAAATTAATTTAACTTAAATTAGTAAAAAATCTTAAATTCTTGCACCACACTTTTCCCCATAAATTGCAGACTCGTCAATTGTCAACTGAATTGTAAGGTATGCAAATTTAACTGAGTGTGCATCAATTTATGACGCAAAGCAGTTTTTTATCTAAAAACACGCCAATTGCCAGTCGGACTGTCCTCGCTGAATTGGACAGTGACATCAATTACAATTACGAGATTACGGCATATGTATAAATATTACTCATCCGGTTACGATAAGAGAATACAATGTCACCAGGGACTCTGTCGCCCAAAACATGATCATGTTATCGCCAAGGAGAAGATAACCCGTTCAATTTCACCGGTTTCGTTAAATAATACGATAATTCTCCAGTTATAAAATTACATTCGGCCAATGTTAAGCTAAATTTTGCATACACTCTAAATAGCCGGCGCACCCTAGAGAAAATTTTTTAAAATTTATTCAAGGTTAAGTAAAATAGAGGAAGACAAATCCAGAAGGTAAAATTTGTACAACGTTCTTCATAATTCATACAGTAATTTAACAAATTTTATCTTTTGTTGTCAATCTATTTTTTACTCAACCCTGAGCAAATTTTACTTAATTTTATTTAGAGTGTAACTCGATATCCGCCGAGTTACTATTTTTTTAATGATTAGCGAGGGGTTTTGCCACCAATGGATAATTAGTCAAAAACTTGCGTACAAAACACACGTGACGAATTTGGTAGATGAGATTTTTAATTAATTTTATTCAAAATAAAACGTCATCTTAATCAAAAATAGGAACCTCCTATTTGTTTACAAGTTATTTAGCTACTGCATAATTTTTACTGCATAATTACATAAACCCTGTCAACCAAAAGGAAGAAGATGGTGAAGCCAACAATAACTTTTTGGGTGGTTACCCTATTCACCTGCCTCGCGCAGGGTGACACCCGTGCCATGGAGAGCGTGGAATTCGACGGGTTCAACTACACGTGTCCCCCGCACTGCGACTACTGCACGGACGATAATACTTCCTGCCGCTATTATCCCGATTCTAGAAACGAAGAGGGTGGGATGCCGTGAGTGGACAGCAAAGAAATCTTTTTTAAACCCTCATTTTACACGATTTCTCGTCCAGACGTTGGTTTTCTAAGACAAATAAGTTTTATTTTATCGAATTTAAATATTTATCAATCTGGTTGAACGTAGTGTTTTAATGGTTTGATTTGTCCACCTTAGCTCTGCATGTAAAAAGTTTTCGCTTAAAAATCAAACCATAAAACATCCATATTTCAGGATTTTGATTGCACACTTCTTCCACGCAAGTTTGAACTTTTTTAGAAATTGACAATTCTCAGAAACTGCGTCACTGTCAGACTTAACTTCGTTTAAATTATGCACACGGGGAACTTCGAGACTGTCAATGGCGTAGCTTGTCTGAGTTCTAAATTTCTGTAAAAGGTCAAACTTGTCTATGTAACCTGTGCTAAATAAATAACTATGTTCCTGTTTGATTTCAGGTTTTGGGTTATCGGCCTCATTATCGTTGCCGCCTTCATCGTTTGTTTCCTCTCACCGTGTGGAGTTTACTACTGTCGTCGATACGACGTCTTCTACCTATGCCGATATAAATACCCGAAAGTGATCTGTGAGTTCTACCTCTTTTTCCAGACTGACAATTAGCAATTATTAATTGGGGATAATTAGATGTCGGATTCGATGGACCGTCACTCCCCTTATGCGAGGAAGTAAAGCCGACCAAATTTCAAAAAGCGGTTTGGACCTGTTTCTGTTGTAGCAAACCGGAAGCAGCAAACTCAAGGATGCAAGGTATCTGTGAGTTTTATGTAAATATCCTTATATACATAAAGGGTGTCTCAAAAATAAGTGACCATCGTCATACTAAAAGTATGCAAGGAACAATCACTTTACTAATTAAAGCCTAGTACTCACGACGGATTTTTAACGCGAAATGGCAATTTCCTTGCTTTATGCTAAAGGGTGTTGATTTAATTCGATCACATCGATTTTCGCGCGCGCGTCAGAGACAAATTCAGCTATAATTATTGATCCCGTTAATATTTTTCTTTGAAATTTTTACCATGAGTAGCACGAATATAAGTGCTAATTATGAGAATGATAGCATTGAGACGCAGGTCTTAGAAGCAGGGAACTTCAGGTGAAAACAAAAATCCACCTAAAATCGGATGTTCCGGGAATAGGTGATGGCAATGCATGAATAAAAATTTTTCACGGATGAAAAACGTTATAAACAACCCAAATGGTTCCCACCTACCAGGAAAATAAAGACCTTGCAGAAATTCGGCATGAAAACGAAAGTTCTTGTCCAAATGGTGCACGGGATCGAAATGACTTGAAAAGGACTAAACGAAAATCAAGTACGAATAGCCCATTTTGGTGAAAACTAACGTCCAATCTGCATAATGTGGTTAGACAAGTTACAAAGTAAGAGAAAAAAATCATCTCTCCACCAGAAACATTGATGACCGGGTTCAATTAACGCAAAAGTCTTGAAAAAGTGGGTATTTGACACCGTAAAGAATTGGGTCGCCACATCCTCTGCTTCAGTTACCGTCAAATTCGGTTCTATCCAAAATTACGCTCATAAATGGTAAGATACAAAACAGCAAAAAAATCGGATCTATCGGTAATTAGGGTCCCGAAATCTGAATTGGAAGTTATGGTGTCAGTGGTTCTGGGCGGGTGGCGTTGACAGCACAAAATATTGCATGCAAATACGGAAACATGTACGCAACGGGACATATGGACAAATGTGACCTATTTGCTCTTATAGACTAGGAAACAAGGAATTTTTGCCAATTGAGATAAATAAAATATTCGCGCAGAGCAATACCACAGACCACATCGAACAATTCATTATGAGTGCAATAGTACATCAAGCTTCAACGGTGCCTACGAAATTTTAGTGGAATGATAAAAACCTGACTCCGTATTCCCAGGATAGTATGTTGTACATACTGAAGGAAAACGTGCACAAGATCCAAAACATTGAGCAAGGAAAGACGTTATCACAAAAGTTCAAGAAATCTTGGGATTTTTTTATAAAATAATCTTTAAAAAAAATGATCACAGAGTCTGTAACAAAGAGTTGACGGATGAATGAAGTTCCTGATGGAAAGACCACTTATCAAGGTATGTCTGATAAAAAAATTGACTTCATAAATTTTACCAATTATGAGTAATAGCTCCTCAAAAATTTACAGGAAAAGTGTGATCGAATTAAATCAACACCCTTTAGATTAATCTGTCATTGGAATTACGTAATTTCCAACAAATGCATCTATTTAAATATACTAGATTGCTTCAAATGTTACTCAAGTATTTTTTCCCCGTTTTTTCTAAACTTTTTCACACGAAAAATTCATCCTGAGAAGTAGGCTTAATTAAGTAACACTTATCATATTGAATCTCGTAGATGTTCAAGGACCACCCCCATCATTTGAGCGACAAGAAGATACACATGCCGCCAATTAATGACAACCCACAAATTAAATATGAGTAGAAAGACAGCCACGTTTTTAACCTAAATGTGAATGTGTGGCCTAATTTATGTATTTGGCTGGATTTAAACTAGAATTGAGACTAATTAATAAATTTCTTATGCACATAATATGACCGAAATATAAATTCCTTGCATAAATATTTAAGTAAGTCATGCGTATCTACATAATTGATTGTGCAAGATTTTATGATGCACAATCTTCAAAAAGTTATAAAACACCGTCAAGTGTCACCTGGTTCGACTCGCTTGATCGGAGTGACATCGATTACAATGACGAGATTACAAATTAATTTATTATATTACACGTCCGGTTGTGATAATCGAATACAACTGGACCGGGGACTCTGCACCCAAAACATGATCCCGTTATCTTATCCTAACCAAGGAGAAGATAAGCCAGTTCACACAATAACTCCGCCGTTGGTAAATTACGTTTCGCCAATATTAACCTACGTATTACAATCACTGCGAATAACTTGGATACAAATCGTCACTCGAAAGGGTTATTAAAAATATGTTTACTTTCTGGTTATAATCAGTACCCAGTACCTGCATTTTTTAGAGTGCAGTACTTATTTTTGGTTGGTGACAAAATCTTTCCCAAAAAATAATACCTTCGAGTTTCGACGATTTATCTCAAAATTATTTAGAGTGTACACCCAAATTTTTTCCGGCAACATAAAAATCCCCTTTTAAGCCAAAATTGTGGTGATGATGATGAAGCCCACCTTAATCTTGGGGGTGGCCATCTTGGTGACCTTTGCCGCTCAAGGTGACACGCTGGCAATTGATGATCAGAGCGATAATTCAACCTGCCCTCCGCACTGCGACTTCTGCACGGGCGAGGATTATTTGTGCCGCTACCATCCTCGCCAAGATTACAATTGTCCATCACGGTGTGAATATTGCCTGGGTGGAGAATGCTATCGGAATTTCGTTCAGATTCCGTGAGTAGATATACATACATAAATACCAATATGTAAAGAAACCATACATTAATACTTTGTTTCTTTAATATCGTCGTACTAATTCTATAAAGACCGAAGTGCAGTGGAAAGGTAATTTTAAAAAGACCGAAGTGCAGTCGATGATTAATTTTAAAAAGATCGAACTACAGAAAAAAAAATTCTAAAAAGGCCTAAGTGCAGTATGTATTTACTTATGGCTATATCTTGCCAAAACGATTCTTCATAGATCGCGCGATTTAGCCATAAGTAAATACATGCTTGCACTTAGGTCTTTTTGGAATTTTTTTTCTGTAGTTCGGTCTTTTTAAAATTAATCATCGACTGCACTTCGGTCTTTTTAAAATTAGCTTTCCACTGTACTTCGGTCTTTATAGAATTAGTACAACGACATGTTTTTGGGAAATATACATATTTATGTTTTTAAGAATGTTTAACAAATGTTTTTTGCACACTACTTAAGAGCTGGATTAAATCCATGCTAATTTCAATCTGTATTTGTTGCTTAATTTTTTATTTATTTTAGTTTTATTTCAATTTTTTTTTACAAAAAGTGGATCGCTCATGCATATTTTTTTCAGGGGTTGGTTAATCGCGTCCATAGTTGTCGCCGCCCTCGTCATTTTTGTCCTGTTTCCCTGTGCCATTTGCCACTGTCGTCGTCAGGATTGTTACCACCATTGCGGATATAACCACCCGGAAGTAATGCGTAAGTTTTATTTTTATTTTTACGTTTAAGAAAAATTGGAATGAACGAGGTTTTAAAAAATTAGGAATTTTCAAAATCGTATTAAAATATGGTGAAAATGGAAAAATTTGTAATTTTAATGATACATATGTAAGGCTTAAATGAAAACAATTTTATAAGAGTACCAAGCCTCCAATAAGTTCAAATTGTATTTTAAATTTGTTTAAATTATTAATTAGACGTCAAAGAGCCACCCTTACCCTTCGAAGAGGAAGAAACTCCGTCTCGTTTCCAGAAAGTTATCTGGACTTGCTTCTGTTGTAGACCAGTCGCCAAACCGAGGGTGCAAATTATTTGTGAGTTTTAGCACCTTCACTCTTAGAAATTGTGCTACACTTTTGGAAGTAAATGCGCCCTGAATTCTAAATTTAATAAACGAAACTAAATCCAAAGTAACGTTAATTTGATGAAGAGTAAAGTTTGCTCTGGATTTTACATATACAGTTTACTTAATGCAGAATACAGAGTGAATTCAATTTTCAAAAGTGCAACATTATATATAAAGGGTGCTTCAAGAATAGGTGAACAACTTGATTCAGTTTATGTGTGCAAATAATTGGGAGAAGTTGACCTATTTTTTAAACACCGTTTTAAACACCTTTCATTTATCCGAAATTCATTAACAAGTAAGAATCCTGTTTAATTAGATGTCCATGGACCTCCCCCTCCTTTTCCAGTAACAAGTGCATAACACACTGGATAATGAAAACCATGCACATTACGCGAATTACACCGGCACGTTTTAACTATTTAGGGTAGTCAAATTATTTAGCTAAAATTTAAGTTTAACTGTAATACACCGTTGCAAACGAAATGTAGCAAAGGGGTAAAAACACACGGAATTGTCTTTGTGGCACGCCCACAACGTCTTTCACCACTTTCCTGTCATTGTCTCACATTACCCCAGGTCTCATTTTGCCCCGTTTTAACACCCCTACCCGCGTAGTTCAAACGTACACGACAATACCTTTCAATAGAGACCCCCACATGACAAAAGTCATTTTACCGACATTCGACACCTCCCACACGGTCATGGGGTCGTCGCACCTCGAAATGATGACGATTTCTTAAATTCCCACCCAAAAATACGTCTAAAACACTGGAAAAAAAAATTCGACACCTTTCACCGTTGGCGTCATCACCGTGGCGCGTGACCTTATGACCTACAACGCCCATCTTCGAACTCATCCTGTACCCAAAAATTAGAAACACGCTGACGAAAACCGGATGTCGAAATTCGAATCCGTTCTAAAGTTATCGTGGAAACGGACGGACGGACGGACAGACAGACAGACGGCCAAGACATTTCCATAAAGGGGTTTTGACCGCTTAATAAACTTTATTCACAATGTGTTATCCAAATTATTTAAGCAAGTATCTAACATGTATGCTTAATTTAACACTTTACCTCAAAAAATTGTCAAGCATGAGCTAAATAATTCAATTAAACTGACATCAATTATGTAAATACGCATCCGGTTACGATAAGCGAGTCCAATGTCACCAAGGACTCTGTCACCGTGACATGATCCTATCATCGTTTTACTGGCTGCGAGAGATGATAACCGGCATTGATAAGCTTCAATGTTTTATACAAATACAAACTCCGCAATGTAGTGAAAGCTTTATTCGAGGTATTTATTACTTCTACTCCGCAAATATCACATCCCACTAAACTTTATATATGACCCAATATTTGCTGGTGGTCGTCATGACGACGTTCCTCGTTACGGGGGGAACAACGAGGATGGGGGACGCGAGACCAAAAAGTGAAGACCAGAGTACCCATGATTTTGCGTAAGTAAATGAAATATACCTAAAATTTTTAAAAATTTACCTACATAACGAAAGTAACTAAATTTTAACCCAAAATGCTCATAAATAATTGAGACCGGGATTGATTACGAGTATGAATTAGAGGAATGCTCAAGTCAACAACAAACTACTCCATAACCCACATAAAGGGTGTCAAGTTGATTCGTCCCGATTGTTTTCTGGAACTTAAAGTAAATTTGGGAAAATTGGTGCAAAGTCAAAAGAAAGAGTTAAGGGCATGATGTGTGTATTAGTTATTTTTGGGTCCTATTTAACTGATCATAATTTAATACTACTTCTGACCATAATTAATACTTTTTTCTGAACTACTTTCTTTCATCATAATGGAATCTAATTTGACCATAACTAGAATACTAACTTATTCATAATAAATCCTCCGTCTACCATAACCAAGTTATTGGCGAATACTCTTTAGGTTTTTATGCCAGAACTAGGATTATACAAGTATTGAGTAAAAATATATTTTTATTAAACATTGTAGTTAGTGTGGCCACTTTTTTTCGAATCTGCGTTCTTCAGTGAAACAAAAATGGTTGCGAGTCAAAAATACTTATTTTGAACATCATGCATTATCAATTAACTATTTCGCTTTAGTTTACGATCAAAAAAAGTGTGCACATTAACCCCACCAAATGGGGTAAGTGGGGCCAGTGGAGGGGTTAGTGTAAACATGCATATATTTTAATGCCAATATATTTGCATAATAAAATGCTTTTCGAATTAAAAAAATTCGAATTCATGCCAGATCGAGGATTATACAAATATTGCGCAAAATATATGTTTTAAAGATGGAATTTGAAAATATTCGGATATAAATTTGGACAATTTACGGACAAAATATCTGCGAAGAATAATTACCCCTGCAAATTGTCCAAATTATGCATTATTCAAGGATTTGAATCCAATTACTAAAATCATTCACACCCACCCACTGTGGGATGCAAGCAATTAGAAAAAGTTGATACATAGCACGTTACTTAAAATGCTGCAACGCTTAAGGAATGATTGCCGCTACGTATGTTTTTCGAAAAAGCGTTTAAAATCTTCCAACGCTGGTCTCAATCACTCAGTTATCGATCAAATTAAAGGTTTTGCAGCCTCCACCAGACGCTACATGTATACCCATTGAAGAGAAATTCAAGCGTGGTAGACCAGAAAAACTTTCCAAGAAATTTGTAGTTGACTAAAAATCGAAAAGTTTGTAAAGTTTTTTAAAGTTTCGTATTTTAAAGCTATTTTAAAGTTATTTTTACTTATGGTAAAATCAAGTAATTATTATACATAAGGAAGCACTTTATTATAGTGAGAGATAGTATTCGGGGAGAAAGTATTAATTATGGTCAAAAGTAGTATTAAATTATGATCAGTTAAACATTACCCGTTATTTTTCATACTTTCTCAATGAAACTCAATTTTTGTCTGGACATTTTTTTATTAGATTCGTGTACAAGGTATCTAACTTTGAAAGTGACATTTACTGTATGTTAAAGAGATTTGATAAATAAATACGTATGATTTGACCTACGGCGCGATGGGTTTTGATTTAATTCGTCACGATTTCTCTTCTCAATATTTGAGAACTTTAACTTAAAAAACTGTGAGAACCTACATAGATTTTATTAAAGAGATTTGGTAGAACTTTTACCAGCCTCCGAGAATATTATGATCAGTCATTTCTGCGGTTTTCGGGGATTATTACTTGATTTTATTCGTGAAAATTGCTAGCTTTCAGTGAACCATTGTCACCTTCATTAGGCAAGAATACAAAGATATCGGATACAAATTTTAAACAATGCATGCATTTGACAACTTAAAAGTGAGAATTATTTGTCAATAAATGTTTCTTAACCACAGTTAAATTATAAAAAAGAGACTTTATGAAAGAGACTTTGTCAATGAGTTTTTCAGCAATTTACATATATTAATCAGCCACTTACCTCTTATTGCATGACTTCAGGCTAATTTTGATAGATTTGTTTTTAGTTCCAAAAAACAATGGGGAAGAATTAAATCAATAAATACCCTTTACATAATTTGTTCCAGGTGGGGTTTGATAATTATATCTGCCTTAGTCTCCGCTTTCTTCTTCTGCATTCTTCCCCTTTGGGTATGCTTCTGTTATCGAAAAGGAGCTGAACCACAGAATCAAATTATCTGTAAGCGTTTCGATTTAGTATTCATATGCCAATATGCACATACAATAAATAAGCCTTTTTTAGACACCCTATATAATAATTGATCAAATATTGTGTTAAAATAGATATTCAGGGACGTGCCCCACCCGGATACCAACAATTAACCAGCCTGCCATGAAATAATGGGGCTAACCCCTAAGTCACCCTGGGTCATCTGAATAACTGTAAACCTTGCAAATACATGTATTGTATTGTTCGCAATAATGGGTTTGTATTGCAAGGAAAAAGAATTATATTAAATAATAATTTGCAAAGAAGATATGTTAGTTCCTAAATAGGACGTATTATCAAAATTTTTGTCATACTCGTGTTCACAACATATGCATGTGCCGTCATCATTTAAAACATTCGGTCCAGTGTTTCGTTTCTTGCGGTTTTTCTCATTTTTTGCACTGCAAAGCAAGAAATGCAAGAAATACAAGGTGCACGAAATGCAAGAAAGTGCAAGAAACACAGCGCCATCTAGCGATGCGCCTTCAGAACTATGGCGGCGGGAAGGAGTTTCTTGCACTTTGCATTTCTTGCGGGTAAAAATAGCTGCAAGAAACCAATTTCTTGCGATCATTTCTTGCAGGTGGTTACTTGCATCCGAAACACTGATTCGGTCCATGCAAAAAAAAATCAGGGACGCCAACCAATATTTAGTCTTACACTTGCAGAGAAGAGAGAAAGTCTACTAATTTGGGCGCCACAGCTCGCTGAAACACTTGGCACCGAACCCTCTACAATTTTGAACTGAGTGTTTTCGCTAACTTGCGCCTCCAAAAACTCGCTGAATTTTTCGCGTCGGTGTAAGCGTCGCACAAAGTGTTGTTTGAAGCCTGTATGTATGTATATGTCGTAGCCTGACATTTTTCCTGAGAGGTGGCATAGCCCTGAAGTGTAAAATTCATATTACATACATAGAAAGACATATATATGTGATGACTGTACTTTGTGGGGTGATCAGACTGCTCATTAACAGAGACAGCCAGGCCAGCAGCGGTAGTGCATTAAAGGCTAATTGCTGACTAGAAATAATGACTACTCTACGCTTACATAATAAATACAATTTATAGCATACTTCGCGATGCATTGCAGAGGTTTGGCAACCCCTACATGAGCAGTAGTGTAATTAACAAGTCAATACATTTTTGCCATAGCACAAAAGATGTCAACCTGTCGAAAAAGGTGCCATCTCCCATTGAGAACTTCGATGGTCGACAGGATCTCATAAAGTACTTAACCCATTTGGAGAGATTTCTTATTTTCATAAATTCGATAAAGTTGCAAGATTTAGAGTACGGCTTAGCTACAATTTTGCACACGGAGTGAATAACAACAAAGCAATCCAAGGCAACCATTAAGAACATTAGTAGAATTATGATAGGGAATCTGTCGTGCGAGGTTACCAAGACATAGAGTGACACTGTTTCAGCAACAGAAATACCCCCCAGGGTGACTGGAACTGACGGTTGGCACCAGGTATTGTCGTGGTAAGTAGATATCAACTGAAGCACTCGGTACTTGTAGAGATGGTAACCTCTAGCTTGGGGTTTAGTTTGCATTTCCTTTCTGTCAGCATTTAAAAAGTTAAAACATCCATATAAGTAAATTTAAACATTAACTTAGATAAGCTAATTTTAAATAAACTTATGTTGACACTTAAAATCCTTACCTTTCAATGTAATCCAGAATGAAAAGTTTAACCTCTATTGGATACAATAAAACGATATACACACCAATGCCTACACTTCCGATGACTACGATCCCGGTGTAAAATTCGTAGATTCCCAGAACTAATTTCATAGCTAAACCTACAGCACCGCTATGACTACAATTCTTACAGTTTAGAATCATTGTGCTGGTTATTACCGGAGGCATGCAAGGTTGAAAGAAACTCATGACTGAAACCGCACATGGAACCAAGACAAACGAAGACGCAACAATGGCGCTGAGTGTAACGAAATAACGATGAACATAACCAGGCCCCCCTGTTTAGAAATATAGACATAAGTATGTATCACTGGATAATAATATTAATATCATAGGACTGATATTTTGAAATTAGATGATACACAGTATGTACAAGCTCTGCTTGGCGTAGTTCAAAATACTTTATTTTGCAAATGATATTTGCAAATTCATATTTTCAAATTCAACATTTGCAGTGTCGTGCTAACCACACGAAAATGGTATTCACACACGTTTTGAAACTATTCACTCGTTACTGAACTGTTCTCTTTCTGAATTTACCTATTAATGCACGTACCGTACAATTTTGATTACTTATATTTAATTACCTTCCAGAATTAGCTGTAGTTCTGTATCGACGCATGCGTTGAGCAAGGTCACTATCTCCTTTCTCACGCGCTCGATGTGTAACAGTCCAATTGTTATTACTCCATGGAGGAAACCGGTGTACCCGACGAGGACATATTTCCAGTTTGGTATGGGTGGTTGGGTTATCATCCAATTTCTGGCTAACCAATTCAATGTCGCACAAACACGTATGACAGTAGTGAAAAGGGCAAATAATAGAGGTAAGATTGTCTTAAAGCTGAGAGACAACGGCAGGAATTTCTTCGAAAACCTGACAGAAATTATGTTTGTGCCATTAAACAATTTGAAGATATTCACCACTAATGGAATATTGGATGAAGGCAGGTGTGCCAGTGTAGACAACCTCAACGTCATATTCAAAAATGTCAAATTACAAGAAAATGAAACTGATCGAATGTTTCCAAAATATTCAATTCTTATTGCACGATTTTGTGAAAAATTCAGCTTAGCTTTGTAAATATTTTTGCTACCCAATTAGGTTGACGTTAATATTTTTAGAATACGGCCACACAATAAACTTAACGAATCCGATGGATTTGTTACCAGTGTGACAACATCGAACAAGTCTGTACAAACCACAATTTCCAACCTGCTGGATACAACTAAGAACACATATTATTGGTCTGCAGAATCCCGGATGTCTAATTTTTCCCCATATGTACTCAGTTTTGCGCTTAGCAACGATAACACCATAGCCTTATAAAGACCACTTTAGTTCGGAAGAAATTACACTTTTCGGCATTCTTGGTGAATATCCGCGCCGTGTTATTGCTAAAGGAATGATAAACCAAATGTCGTCGCATGTAGAATGCTAGCCGAGGCCAGGCGGTAGCGATGTAAACTTCTGCTTTCTTGTTTTTGACTAGATTATAATCGATAAATCAATTTTAAAGTTGATTGGTATCTAAACGTTTGATTAGTCCGCAATATACTTATGTATACTACTTTGGTAAATATTCCAGTTGCAGGATACGTAGATACGTAACCCATTGGAAAATCAGGTCTTAACTCTGAAAACTTGGCGAATAATCGAACTGGTGAAATGTTAAACAGTTACCCAGCTGGAACGACATAATGCTATCCGAACTCCTCAGTGTGTCACGGACTACAGAATCAATCTGTTACTGGTATTGGGACGCAATTAATTTGTGTGTAATTTACGTAATTATGCAAAGCTATTTTTTGCATTGATGTTAAATTGCTAATTTTGTATGGAATGACCATTAGTAGTACCAGAATTAGTGTAGAAAGACAGAAGCAAAGCATTTAATAGGCCTGCAGGTTTTGTATTGATGAGGCTCATGGCCATATCAAATGCTAATAAATTGAAATTGAATATTAAGCCTGCAGACCTGCCCATTTCTTGTTAGCAAAAATCATTAAGAAGGAGAACCAACGAGGGTCGCAAAGACAAATACTGAAGCTCCTTCGATAAGATCCACAGTGCGTGTAACATGTACCCGCTCGGCGAAAAACAAATCACAATCCATGCGGACTGGCCAAAAATTCCAGGATTTTAAGCTCATTGTGTTAAATTTTTTGTTGTGCCAATGTGCGGTTGAGTAACTTTTCAAACTTTCAAATATTCAAATATTCAAATTCAAAACTTCAAATATATGCATTATATGTTCACTTTCATCCATGTGACTGATTATGATAGAGAATGATGGTGAATGAAAATAGATTTCTTGTGATTTGAATGAAAATGAGTGAAAAATTATGCCACTTCAGATGAGCAACTGTAAATGAAAGGATTTTTCGCTCCTTTCATTTCCCACCCTATGCTTAAAACATGGGGCGAAGAAAGAAAGAAATAAAGTCAGATGATGCGAAATGAAATAAGTTTGAAAGAAAATGACTGAATTATGAATGAAAAACGTTTTTTTAACGTATGACTATATGTATGTATACGTCCAGGGGCATCAAAATCTGGCGTTGTAAACCTTATCCGTTCTCCGCTTCAAATAATTTTTTTAGGTATATACTCCCAATTTACCAATAGGATATTATAAAACTTATTACTTTTTTAAGCAGGATGTGACTACATATGTATATGTTCGTGCAGACGAAGAAGAATTATTTCTTCTTAAGCCAACCTTCTTCATGTATAAGTTTACATATCTAACTAATTTTAAACGTTTTATTGCGTTATGCGTAATTAGATAAAATATTGGTCCTTCTCGATTTGTGTATTTAACCGATAATTTTATCAGTAACATATTTACTATATAATGCTTTTGAGCATCTTAAATTTGGATAAATTTTATATACTATGTATTCTAAAGTAATATATACATATTTACGTACATATCTCATATATGTATATGTATGTATAAACCTATACGTTATGTTTAACAAAATATATGAAAAAGGCATAACAAATAAATTAAGACATAAGATACACATAGAACGAAGTATAAATAATGCTCACAAAGAATAAATGCTCACAAAAATATTCAATTATATAATTTATTACTTTACTTTAAAAATATATGTAAATGCCATCACTAAATTACGAACACTTGAGCTTTTTCAAGTTTATACCCGACCCAATTTCCATACCAAGTATCAACATGCATATCAAAATACAAACTCCACATACATAGAATGATACAACAATTTTAGAATTAAAATCTAACCGGGAAACTGCATCTAATTTTGGATGCGTCCAATTCGCATAGTTATGAAACAACTTGGTAGGTTTCCACAATTTATATAAGGATTCCCAATGACTAAATTCCTGAAGACATCATTATCTGAAATCTGCGCAGACAATAATTATTACGAACGGGTACAATTGGCCAACCACGAATTGCTGTAAAGAATGAATCGTCGTCAATCCTGAGGAACTTTATTTTCTCAAGGTTGCCATTTAGGAAAGGAAAAATTTTAGCTAGATTCTCCTTTGTATCCATCCGCGCAATTTTGTCGCACTCG